AGAGAGAGAGAGAGAGAGAGAGAGAGAGAGAGAGAGAGAGAGAGAGATAGTTAACTCTTTGAAAAGTTATTCCCACGGGGAAAGTTTTTGCAAATATTTTATGTTCCTAAGTGCAGGTTGGTAAAATAAGCAACATTGGGTATCTATTTTTGTAAAGATTTCCTTTACTCTAATTTCGCTTTTTTTTTTTTTTTTTTTAATGAGAACATGATTTCTTTTAGACAAGCTATTTATTCATTTTTACTTGAGCAACCTTAAGTTCAGACAATAAGGAAAATGAGATATACATCCTTTACATTTAAAAATGTGAAAAGATTTCTTCAGATTGCACACTCGGTTCAAATTATAAAATTTTTAAATTTAAAATTTCTCGCATATTATGAACAAAACGAGTTAATATTTCTTTTTACACGAGTTCAATCAACGCGTCATTTTTATGAAGTTTATGTCGTGTAAGCAACAGCTTAGCTATATACATTGATTTAAGTGCAGTTCACTAAATATTCCCAATTAGCACCAATAAATAAAAATCGCAACAAGTTGAATTTAAGATAAGAGAACTAAGTTATTAATTCGATAGTAGTCTCAGGTATTTAAAATCTTTTCCGTCGGTAGTTAATCCAAAATCCTAGTTTTTAATCTACATTTAGAGGAGTTCCCGAACTAGTGTTCGATCATAGATATTTTATGCCTACATATTTTGCACGTAGAACCTAGAACCAACAACAACAAATCATGTGAAGTTTTACTAAATGCAAGATTAATCTATATTGATCTGTCTGTTCAGCTATGGCTTATCACTGTTCTTAATATTTCAAATATGAAAGTTTTTGGTAGAAACCTAGTCAGACACTTTTCATAATACCTACAAAAATGAAAATATTTCGCAAATCGGATAATTATATTCCGTTTTGGTCAAATCTTTAATATACTCACCGCCTTAATTTTGCAAAAAAAAAATAAATAAATAAATAAAATTTTGATTATCTATATATGGAGTAGACTCGGCCAAGTTTTCCATTTTTATACAAATACTGTAGCATCGTCCACAGCATGTACGTAGAAATTTTTATCGTTGTATCGGTTATAGTTCATGATGAGTACTGAAGGAAGGACACGATGTTTTTGCTTTTAAAAGCAAAGGCCTGTTCAACAGTTTACGTCTAAGGACGTCCAATCTTTTTTTACAAATTTAATGTCGATATCTGCATATTTGTGATTAGGAGAATGTTTATCGCAGACAGATTCACAGATCGACAGATATGCCCTAGCAATTTTGAATTTGACACTGATTGAGAATATATTTTTTTGTAGGTCCTAAGCCGTATCTTTCTGGATGTTGCAAAGATTTCCATAAAACGTCAATACTCCCAATCTCTCGATGATGATTGGGTTTTATCCCAAATTTATAAATTATAAGAGAAATTAGGTAGATTTTAAAAATATGGCTTTGATACAAATAAGATCGAAATCGAGTGAAGGTTTCTCCCCAAACGATCCCAGATATAATTGCATGTACTTTTTAATAGCACAAGATTTGAAGATCTAGTCCAGCCATTTGTATCTTTATGTGTAATCTTAATCAGCATAGCATTTAATTGCAGCGATATTTTTTTCCTAAGTCTGCATATCGAAAACTCATTGAAAATATAAAAATATCCTAACGAAGATTTTATTTGCAATAAGTAAAAAAAATTATATTAACTTTGGATACGAGACTCCATAAGTAAATATATGATACTGAAAAAATTATTCGACTGATTCTTTTTTGAGATATATGTTACGACCATTTTGGATTCCGTTAGACTATTAATGAAAATTCGCTAACGTTCATCAAGGTTTTAAATATAGATAGATAGATAGATAGACGTATATATGAAAATAATAAATATTGTCTGAATGTATTGCGTGTGGTTTTTAAAGATCATTAGCAACCTTCGACTTTCGGCGCAGCATGTTGAACCTGCGGCCTTGTAGCAACCACACTTAAAAATTCTTTCAATCCGAATGAATTTCGTTAAAAAATAAAAAGAAAGAAAGAAACAAAAAAAAAAAAAGAAGAAGTCTTTAAATGACTTGAAAACGTTAGCATTTATTATTTTATAAATAAAATTGCCGATTTGAAATTTTGAACGGAACAATAACATAGGTCACGACATTATCTCAATAGAAGCAAACGAACTGGTTCTCTACAAAAAGACACGATAGATCCTTTAATTGAGGGGAAAAGTTTTAAGCTATTTATTATTATTAATTATTATTGTCATTACTATTGATAGTAACTTTTTAGATAGATGTTCTAAGAAAGAGGACTCGATTTTGTAAATTTACATGCAAAATTTCTCTCTTATTAATCGTTTATCATTATATTATATAGAATTTAATGTAATTTATTCCTATTAGTTTATAGGATTTATAAAAACGCACAAATCGAGGTCACTAAATATCATTTTTATCATTTATTATTTTATATATATATATACATATATATATATATATATATATTTTTTTTTTTATTAGATTATGTATATATAAAATTCAGTAAATTATACTTAATGTACTATTCTTTCGCCAGGTGTTTCCTAATGAAACTATTGGAAACCTTGTTTTACATTGCTCAAAAATATATATCATTGATCCATATATTTATGATTTTATATAATTAAAAGTTTAAGTTAATATGTTAACAAGAATTTATATTACAAATGAAATAATATGAAGCGAAAAAAAAAAAAAAACAGAAGAAAAGAAAAGAAAAGAAACAAAAAACATAAAATTATATGAATAATTAGAAATGAAACAAAAGTAAATTAAATTGCGTATGACTGCCTTAGTTTTTAAACACCTACCTCTACTTTCACCGTATAATTGCTTATAAATGTGTATGTGTAACAATAAATGAATGAATTTACATTCAATTTTAGTCATATCTCGATATAATATATAAACACACAAGCATACATACAATTTATCGTATATTTTGTGTTAAATTAATTTCATTTTATTTATTATAGAAAAGGTGCCAAAGTTTATTTAGTATAAGAAGTTATTCCTATTTTACTATTTTTATTTTTTTTTTCCTTCCTCTCTTCGTTTCTATTCCCATTTCCATAGAATATAAATGAAAATAATTTTTTTTTTTTTTTTTTTTGCTTATTTTGTCTTGTATTTATGCCAATAGCTTGCGATTTATTTCTATTCGAAAAGTAAATGTACGTAAATATTACGCAATTCAGGTTCCGCTTTATGCATGCAATGTATGATATCTTTGCCAATATAATTTATTGTAAAAATGTCTCAAAAAAAAAAAAAAAAAAAAAAAAATACATATTAAATGTTTGGGTTTTAAAGTAAAATACATTAATTAAGTAAATGTATGTATAAATAATTTTAAAAAAATTGAACTTTTTTTAAAAATTCCCCTAAATCACTTTTAATTTAATCATTTTTCGAGTAAAAAGGAACAAAGAAACCATAAAATCTATTATAAAATATCTTCGAAATTCTTCGATGGATGTAAATGTTCTTTATCTACTAGTAAGCTGTTGTTGTTGTTGTTGTTAGAGTGGTATAGTAATGAACATTTCTCAGATATATATTTGAAAAAGTTGTTGCATATAGACCTAATGATCTGGTCTTTGTTAAGGATGTGATATACATGCCTCTTCTATACGATGATAGAGTTAGAGAGAGAGAGAGAGAGAGAGAGAGAGCTTAAAACCATCGATAACAATCCCATTACAAATCCGGTGCCGAATGTATATATGTTATAAAAAGTAGGGTACTTACGTATTAATACCATCGCGGGAAAAATTCCATTAAAAAACCAATAAAAAACAACCTTTTAAACGTTTATAAAAAGTTTTTTCGGCTTCTAAATGTAATAATAATAATATAATAAAATAATAATAATAATAATATTTTGCCGCAGTGGCGTTAATACGTAAGTACCAAAAATAGATTTGGACCTGTGATGTTTCAATAATATTCTCTTCAAAATTAAAATTAAGAGCAAGAGCAAGAGTGTTATCCTCGGAAGCAAAAATTATGGATATGGTTCATATTTGAAGGCACCTGATAGATATATGTAGCTTCGATTCATTTCCATTGCGGTTCCCTTTTTTTTGTACGAGTAAAACATACGCTACGCCAATCCCTGCTATCTTCATTTCTGGATTAGATGGAATTTTTCATATCATTCGGCATCAATATATAACGAGGGAAGCATCATCATCCGCGAACTGAAATATTTTTTGATAGATCCGAAAGAACCGAAACGTTGATCAATCAGATAACGGGTAAACAAATACGAAAATCGGTCTGGATGTTCTGGCCACAAGTTATCGAACTTTAGAAAATTTCTTCATCGCGCAATCAATTGCAAAGATTGTCTATATTGTTTGTCATCGTGTTCGTTTAAAATGACCTATTTCCAAAAAAATAGATAGGATTATGAATATTCGGTTTTGTGGCAAATGTCGATGACAATGTATGGTCGACTTTTTTTGGGCCTAGGATAACCGATTATAGACGAAACACCTTTCATATATCGCAGCGTTGTGCAAGAATGTCTTTGCAATGAATTTTTGAATATTTGAAGCTTACGTTAATACTCGTAACAATCAATCTTTATTCTATATTGCAATTCTTGCCCTTCATATTCATATTATCACCTTTGTCAGTACATACTTACGCAATTACATTTATATTAATGTAAATAAGATGCCCGCGCATCAGTAAAGATAAAAAAGAAAATATAATCAATCAACTTAAAACCGTATTTTATATCCATAACCGAAGATTAGGAATATATTAAATATGTCCTTTTGTTTATAAAATCGGGAATTATCTATCATATGACCCTATCCACAAACAAGTCTGTCCATCTCACGATAACAAAAAGTTCAAGATCTGAAAAATCTGTAATTTTCCAATTCAATAATTATCAGTGAATGATGCTATTAGAATGGGCTATGTTGAGAAACTGCTGCTTATGTCACGAAGTGTGTGAATAACGCTAAACCATCTGACCTTTAAGGCAATTCTTGTTCTTATCGATGCTAAAAAGTCTTTTTGACGATTCTTTAAAAGACTTTTAAAAAGCAAAACCAAATACCCACTCTCCCTCAACCCTGCCGAGCAAAAGGTACAAATTTTTAACTGGCACGTTAGTTAGCCAGTCACTCTATCCAAAAAATTCAAATGGATCTTTAACAAAAATCTATTTGTCATTCGTTAAGCCTTTACTGACGATCGTTGTAAAAAATTGTTTAAACGATCAATTTCTCTTAGGATTGGTGTTTCAAGCGATTCTCCGTACGTCGAAGCACTAATGGTATTGCAGAAAACTTGAATATGAACAATATAAGGCACATGAATTTATAAATGTATGAAGTAAAAAAGAATGATTTTCACTGTTTTGGTCGACCGTGAACCGTGAACGTTACAAAAATATATATATATATATATATATGAACCGGTGTTCAATAATTCTTGCATAAATCCTAGATTGTTATCTTGGATTGTTGAGAAAGGAATATATCCTCTTAGACCGCATGTAACAATAGTTAGGGTGATAACTAGCCATCTTAAAAAGCCATCGGCGTTTGCGTCACATAGACAATCGTAAATAAATTGACTTACTATCGATACTTACGATAAGTAAGCTGTAACGTTCTCAATGCTAATTTTTTGGATTTTACGGACGGAATGCTAAAATGAATGTAACTTCATTTCTTTAAGATGTACAGAATAATGTTTTATATTACGTTAGAGGTTCGATTTATTAGGTGATGGCGTAATAGAACATATCATTGCGTAATAATGTTGTTACGGAATTAATTTGGGATATAAAATGAATACATTGGATATGCTTTGGTCATTGACTTTGACTTCAACTATATATATATATATATGTATATATATATATATATATATATATGTATATTTATCTATCCATGTATGTATATAAGCATACAATGTAAATGCACACATATAAACGAAAAATTTTTAGGGACAAAACTTTAGTAAGTAGCGAATTCTCGAACTATAAACATATACATCAAGTTTTTCTTGAAACCAATACATAAGAAATATAATGAAAAACATAAAAGATTTTACGGTCAATAATGACGATTTAAAAAAAATGTCTATTACGGATTTCTATAAAGATCAGGAAATATTTATAACCGGTGGCTCCGGGTTTATAGGAAAAGCTCTGATAGAGAAACTGTTACGTTCGTTTCCTAACTTTAAGAAAATGTTTATATTGTTGCGTTCAAAAAAGGATAAAACCGCCGATGAGAGACTTCAAGAACTTTTAGATAATTCAATATTTCAGAGAGCACGAGATGAGCAACCGGAAAGTTTTAAAAAAATCCACGCTATTGCTGGTGATTGCCGGGAGCTAGGTTTAAGCATCAGCAGTGAAGACCTCAAACGCATTGAAAATGTTACCATTATTTTTCATTCGGCTGCCAATGTCAGGTAAAT